GCACTTAGTAGCACTGCTCTGCCTATCTCCTCTGATGCTAGATACAACTGTGTGAATTACTTGGGCCAGTGAAATGTTGCCAGAAGAAACCTGTATCACTTTCAAGCGGGACTTTTAAGAGCCTGTGCATGGTTTGCCACATTCTTTCTTTCCTCCCTCAGTGAACTTGGAAAGCCTGGGTCTACACTGGTCATCTATTAGCTTGGTTCTTGAGTGAGTGACCACTATGAACAGAGACCCCTGCTGACCCACACTGGATGTGTAGCAGGAGTCAGAAAGAGGCTTTCTTTGAGTTAAGCCATTGAGATGTAGTTGTTTATTATCACAGACAGAATGTAACTGAGCCCTGCTGAAACAATTCCCCCGGGAAAAAAAAATGAAGGATGTTTTTATCATCAATCCAGCTATGTTTGCTGAGCTGACAAATAGCCAGCAGGAAGGGCACATCCTAAAGCAATCAGCTTCATTCCATGTATCTTTTGTGTCCCCCAGGCCTTCGAGTTTTTCCTTGGTTTGAGTCCCTTGGTTTTTCCTAAGCTTTGTTATCCTCCCAGAAGGAGAATTATCTTGTTTGGCAATGATTAAAGTTAGTCCTAGTTGATATCTGGCCAACTAATCCTACCTGTAGCGTTGGGAGCACATCCACTTAGGGCAAAAGAAGAGGAACAACCGGGTCAGATCCTTCTGCCCTGCCTGTGCCACTTGGGACCACCATGAGAATGATACCACCAAGCAAGGCTACGGCTTTTGGTATTCTGAATACCTACAGCATCTGGTTTGGGGTGGTCATGTAATAGGTCAGGAGACAGAATGGCAAAATAAGGAACAGCTTGGGCTGTGTGGTCAGACAGGCTCAAATTTAAATCCAGCCCCCACCTCTTCCTGGCTCTGGAATTTGGGGCAAAGTCACTTCTCTGAGCCTCAGTTTACTTGACTGAGAAATGCAGGCTCAATAATGCTCACTTCTTTGGGCTGCTGTTAGACTGTGGATATAAAATGTATAGCCCAGCACCCAGTACTTGGAAAGTGCTCAGTAAGTGGTGACCATGATGTGGACCAAAGCTGATGACCTGGGTTCTAATCTAGACAAGCCCCTTGTCTCCTGTGGACATCAGCTGAGTCAGTGATTTGTAAGAGCCCTTGTATCTCTAATGCCAATCATGTCTTCCCTGCAATTTCAAAACTGAGTAAGTATACGTTTTCTAAATGAGGGTCACTGAGGGCAATTTTTAAAAAAATTAGACTGTAGAAAATTGATAGTCAGGTAATTCATATTTTCTCTATAGAACAATTAGGAAAACAAATCTCTGCTACAAACTTGGCCTCAGGCAGGCTCCTGCCCCTCTGGCCTCATCTTAGGATAAGGAGATTGGGCTAGAAGCTGTTTTGGTCCCTGTTGGCTTTGACTGGTTATGATCTGCTTATAGTGACACAGAGGGGTCTTTGTCTCCTCTTCCTGACCCTCATCTGCTTTATCTTCAATTCCATGTCTAAGGTTCTGGTATCTGATATTTTACTTTGTGTTTTTAGCCCTGTGCAACTTCTTGATACATCTTTTTTTTTTTTAACTTTATTTTTAAGTAATTTTAAATTTACTGAAAAGTTGCAAAGACAGCACAGTGAGTTCCTGAATACCCTTAGGAGCTGGTTTCTTGTGACAGTCATCTCTGTGTGATCATGGAACATTTGTCAAAACAAAGAGATTAATATTGGTACATTGCTCTTAACTGAATGACAGACTGCATTTGGAATTCATTGCTTTTTCCTTTAATGTTCCAGGATCCAATGCAGGGTACCACACGGCATTAAGGTATTATGTCTCCTCAGTCTCTTCTAGTCTGATGGCTTCTCAGGCCTTTGATTTATCAGTTTTAAGCAGTTTCTCCAGACTGGTATGAGAGATGAGTGTTTTTGATCAATTACACACTCCAGTTTCCCTTTCTCCATCTTTCCCTTATATTTATCTCACCTTTGGATGTAATCCACATTCATTGCTTTTGTTACCTTTATGTAAATATTGTTACCTGTTGGATTGACTATCAATATTATACTTCCTCTTATACATGATTTTTGTCTTGTACTTATTTTATTATTTGTTTTATTTTCCTTGAATTGACTAAATCTTCCCACACTCTGCAATAGTTCAGTAAAAGTCTTTCAATTTTATACATGATGGATCATGTCAAGCAATTTATCAGTTTAATTTTTTTCTGGGAACTCCCCCGCTTCCCCCAGACTCACTCCCATCTGGATACAGGCCGCACAGCTCTTGTCCTTCAGTTCATCCTCATTTGTCCAGGACTTTCCTAGTTTGAAGCACTGAAAGCCCTATATCCTGGGAAACTTATCCATTCCAGACAAATTAGGACACTTGTCACCCTACATAGCAGTCCTCTGATGACTAAAATTAAGCCAATGATACACCACAGCAACTTGTTCAGGATTCTGTGGCATGGTACTACAGAAAACATACAGACTCTGGAGTTCTAGGTTTAAATCCTGGCTTTATCACTTACTAGCTGTATGACTGGGTACCTCACTTCACCTGTTTTCTCAGCATTATACAATAGGCAACAGAATAGCTACCTTGAAAAACTCCCATGTGGATGGGAAAATGCAAAATATGATTACTTCAACCAATGGTAGTTATCATTATAAGCGCTTTGGGAAACCCAGCCAAATGTGACTTTTTTTCAGACAAGACACATGGGGATTTCCTAGGTCCTAAATCCCCCTTGATATTTAGTGTAGCTATATGCCAGGGCCTGATTTCCCTAGGACAGAACTGCTCAGAAAATCAATACTCCAGTTTCACAGAATCCTTGGATGTGTTTGATAACTTGAAGAGCCAATCAAAACTGTTTCTAAAGTGACATTTAAAGACCTTTTGTTTAAATGTGACCACCCTATGCTGCCTTGATACTCTTTGTTTTAAAACTCCAGACCTATGTGGCTCCTGTGCTCAGTTGGTGAAGTGTGCACCTTTTGATCTTGGGGTTGTGAGTTTGAGCCCCATGCTGGGTGTGGAGATCACTTAAAAATAATTTTTTTTTAAATATATAAACTTAGGGGCGCCTGGATGGCTCAGTCAGTTAAGCATCCGACTTCAGCTCAGGTCATGATCTCGCAGTTCATGGGTTCCAGCCCCACGTCAGACTCTGTGCTGACAGCTTGGAGCCTGGAGCCTGCTTCAGATTCTGTGTCTCCCTCTCTCTCTGACCCTCCCCTGCTCACACTGTCTCTCTCTCTCAGAAATAAATAAAACGTTAAAAAAAAATTTAAAAACATAAATTTAAAAAATAAAAATTAAGACCTGTGACAGATGAAAATGGTTGCCAAAAGTGAGATGTGGGCCTTGGGCTGATGAGTGGACCTTGGGCAGAACTTTGAGGAGTTACTTGCTCATTTCCTGAGAGATCACCATTTGTTTTCTAGCACAGTGACCAGCCCCCTTCAGTCACTACATTATTCAGAACTCTTTTGGTTGCATATGAATCCTAAAGTATCCTAAATGAACTTTGGCAAAATTTTATTGGCTCAAAAAATAGCCAACAAGCCATGGAAAAGAACATCAGAATCAAGGACCTGAAATCCATAATGACTCTCTAGGTATTTTGTCTCTGTCCATCTATCTCTCCCTTTCTCACAGACTAACTTTTCCACAAGGCTGGAAAAACGGTAGCCCATCGCTACTGATTCCCATATATTCCCACCTTCCACAATAAGAAAACTGCCAGCCAATCTCAAGTTTGGGTCTCAAGTTTGAAATCCCAGGAAAGGACTCTCACTGGCTCAGCTGGAGTCAGGTGGCCATTCTTGGGCCAATCACCAGTGACCAGTGGTGTAGAACAATTAGAAAACATGGTGGCTCTGAGAACCACCTGGTTGGGGCACGTAAAGAAGTAATTCCCAGGAGAGGTGCTAAAAGCAAACACAAGGTGTCATGACAGTGCTAAAGTTGGAAAACATCCAAGGATTTTACAGTAAAGACCCCACAGAAGTCCACCAGAACAACACAGCTTTCAAAATCGTGTCTGGAGAAGTATGTTGGAGTCCAATTAAGGGACTACTGACAGATTGTTTCCTATCGTGGTGACTAGTCTTCACTACAGGTGAATTGGTAGCATATGGCCCCTTATTCAGAAGGCTCATCCCTCCTTACAAAAGAGGACATAGAGCTCTATAAATAGACTTTAATATTCAAAGGACCCCACCTATTCTCAGGTGTCAGTGTGCATCAGAATCAAGTGGGAGTTGGTAAAGTATGTACTTTCCCAGGCCTACCCCTCAGCTTTTGATTCAGTGGTCTACATTGGAATCAAGGAATCTTTTTTTTTTTTTTTTACATTTTTAATCTTTATTTTTTGAGAGAGACAGTGTGAGCGGAGTAGAGTTAGAGAGAGAGGGAGACACAGAATCCGAAGCATGCTCCAGGCTCTGAGCTGTCAGCACAGAGCCTAACGTGGGGCTCGAACTCACGAACTGTGAGATCATGACCTGCACTGAAGTCGGACATTCAACAGACTGAGCCACCCAGGTGCCCCATACTTTTTTTGTTGTTTTTAAATTTTAGAGAGCGGGCATGCAAATAGGGTGAGAGGGTCAGAGGGAGAGCCTGACATGGGGCTTGATCCCATGACCCTGGATCATTACCTGAGCCAAGATCGAGAGTCAGATGCCCAACCAACTGAGCCATCCAGAATCTGCATTTTTACATGGCCCCCAGGTGATACTGATATAGGTGATCCATGGACCACCCCGTGAAACCATACACAGGACCACTTATCTACACGATCATAAAAATAAAGCACATTGCCTGGCACATGGTTTGTGTACAAGAAACACCTCAAGAGAGGCCACATTAGCAGGTCCCATACCTGCATGAGACCTCTGACGCTTAGTCTTCTGTCTTGAGTGTGACATCTAGACTTCCCCTGGCCCTATCTCCTTCCCCCCACCCCAACCTGCATGGGGAAAGAGAACAAACAACAGTAGAAACGTTTTCATTTTATAAGCACTTGGTTTTATTGCACAGAAGCAATTGAAAGTGAACTCCAGTGGAAAAGTGTGCCCTGGCGTAATTCAGTGGCCAGAGCACAGCCCCACCTGCTCCAGCTCTTCCAGGATAGAGAGCTCTGGGCAAGGGCTCGGCCACTCCTTTGGAAAACAGAAGGCATTCAGGAATAAGTTAAGACATCTCAAGCATTATGTGTTTCTAACTGCTCATTCATTATTGCGGTCACCTGTCAGTTGCACATACAGGAAATAAATGCACTTATTTGGAAAGGAAGGGGTCAGTTTTTATACTCAAGTGTTTACATGTGGCATTCGGCATATATCACATTCAGCTACATAAGCTATCATAACATAATTGTCCATTGCCTGGGGGGTGTTAGGGTGTGGTGTTGGGGTCAGGAATACCCTTTCTTGCTAACATATTGCTAACAGAAATTTCTGTTTGGTGAAGGAGGGCCCCATCGTCTAAGCAGAGTTTCTTATATAAAGAAAAGGGAGAAAAAATGAAAATCTGTTATGTCAATCCTTGAGCTCCTGGACCCTCCTGAGTTTCTTTGGCTGTTCTGGATAGTCCTTTCTCCCTGCCTTATTTCTCCCCCTTGGAGGACTTGTCTTCTGTAGCCTTCTCTGGAGGCCTGCTGTCTTTCTGGTCTGTGCTAGAGGATTTCTCAGCCTTTTCTGTCTTGGCTTTGCCAGGTGTGGGGGCCTCCTTGCTGGGCTCCTCTTTGGGTTTCTCCTCAGGCTTCTTGGCCTCTGTGGTCTTCTCCTCCTTGACATCTTTTTTCTCAGGTGCTGCTGGTGTCGCTTCCTTTTTTGGCTTTTCTGGCTCCTTCTTTGCTGCTTTGCTGGGTTCTTTGGCTTTGGCATCATCTGGCTCCTTCTTGGCCACCTCAGCCTTCTCTTTGGGCTTGGCCTCCTCCTTGACCTTGGCAGGAGCCTCCTTTTCTGGGGTCACTGCTTTTTTCTTATCTTCAGCCTCTTTCTTGGCTTCAACCTTGGATTCTTTGGGCTTCTCCACAGCAGGTTCCTTCTTCTCCTGGACCTTAGGCACCTCGTCTTTCTTGCTGTCCTTCTTCTCCTCAGGTTTTGGTGTGGCTGGAGCTTTCTCTTCTTCTACCTTCTTTGGGGCCTCTTTGACCTTCACTTCCTGGGGTTTCTCTTCCTCCTTCACAGGGGACTTTGCCTCTTCCTTCTTTGTGATCTCTTTCTCAGGAGCCTTGGCCTCCTCCTTCACAGGAGATTTCACCTTCTCTGGGGACTTGACCTCCTCCTTGATAGGGCTTTTTGCCTTTTCAGGAGATTTGATAATTGCAGGGGACCTTACTTCCTCCTTTGCTGGGGTCTTGGCTTCTGGAGACTTCACATCAAGAGTCTTAGCTTTCTCAGGGGACTTGGCCTCTTCCTTCACAGGGGACTTGGCCTTCTCTGGGGACTTGGCCTCTTCCTTCACAGGGGACTTGGCCTCTTCCTTCACAGGGGACTTGGCCTCTTCCTTCACAGGGGACTTGGCCTTCTCTGGGGACTTGGCCTCTTCCTTCACAGGGGACTTGGCCTTCTCTGGGGATTTGGCCTCTTCCTTCACAGGAGACTTGGCCTTCTCTGGGGATTTGGCCTCTTCCTTCACTGGGGACTTGGCCTTCTCTGGGGATTTGGCCTCTTCCTTCACAGGGGACTTGGCCTTCTCTGGGGACTTTGCTTCTTCCTTCACTGGGGACTTGGTCTTCTCTGGGGACTTCACCTCAGTTGGTGATTTTGCTTCTTCTTTCACAGGGGATTTAGCTTTCTCGGGAGATTTCACCTCAGCTGGAGACTTGGCCTCTTCCTTCACGGGGGACTTGGCCTCAGCTGGTGATTTTGCTTCTTCTTTCATGGGGGACTTAGCCTTTTCTGATGACTTAGCCTCTTCCTTCTCTGGGGACTTGGCCTCGACTGGGGACTTAGCTTCTTCCTTCACCGGGGACTTGGCTCCAACTGGTGACTTGGCCTCTTCCTTCTCTGGAGATGCAGCCTCTTCTGCTGAGGGAGATTTTGTTTCTTCTTCTCCTCCTTCTGCTTCCTCCTCCTCGCCTGTCTCCTCTTTGGCCTCTTTCTCTTCTTCTTCAGTCACTTCTTCAGTCACTTGGATTTCCTCTGTCTGTTCCTCCAAAATCACGGTTTCCTTCTCTGACTTTTCTACCACCTTGATCTCCTCACTTTTGACCTTTATGTGAGTGGATGTGGAGGGGATTTTGGGGAGTGCTTCTGGAAGGGAGAAAGGACTGGGGCCAAAGCCAATCCGACACTCTTCGCCCTCCAGGAGTTTTCTGCAGAATAATGGAACACATTATTTTTATTAACTCAGAACAGATTGATGAACTGGGGGGTCTTCTTGAGTTACTCTGAAGGCCCATAGAATCCAATGGTATGGACTTTGGTGGAGGAAGGAATGTGAATAGTGGGCACTTTGAGATCGGAGAAAGTCATTTAACAAATCATCCCAGGATCTACCCAGAATCTGCATCCCAATGGCACTGCTCTTGTTTTATGCAGCTAAAGCTTCAACTTAGAAAACAACCTCCCCCAACACATATAAAAAATGGTCCTCAAGAGAGAGCACCTGCATTAACAAAAATTACATTAATTATCCCTCAACTAAAACATTCAAGAGGAAGGTGGGAGCCTGAGCAAACAATTCCACATTTATAAATTTAGGATTAAGAGGTCTCAGAATATTCCCATTGGAATTTCAAGGGTCTCTTTTCACCTTATATTCTCATCCTTTGAGTTTTAGGAATAGGGAGGGGAAAGCAGTTTCTACTCTTTCCTACTCAGTAGATACATGACCTCAGCCAAGCCACTCAAACCCTTTAAGCCTCAAGTTTCTTCACTGGCAAAAAGAGAGCCATTAAGAGTTCCTACCTCAGATGGTTGTTTCAATGAGATAATGAATAAACAGGACCTGGCAGTACCTGCCTCACAGTAGGTATAGGGGATACTCCTAGAGACCAGTGCTTTGCAAATTTAACAACATACACATCCCCCAGCGATCTAGTTAAAATGCAAATTCTGATTCAGTAGCTCTGGGGTAGAGCCTGAAAGTATGACTTTCTAACATGCTTGTGGAAGATGCCAATTGTGCTGGTGCATGAACCACACTCTGAACACCAACATTACAGACCAGACCCAAGCAGTGGGAAGTAAGGGGTCACCAGCCAGCACCGGGACAGGTCTTCATGGCATGAGATTGCTAAATTGGGAGATCTCATAGCCTTCTCCTGGCTACCATTTACTGAGGGCTCGCTCTGTGGCAGCCCAGCGGTACTCAGATCCACTCAGGAACTCGATTAGCATCCCCTCCCGACAACCAAACAGGAGTACTGTTATTATCATCCCCATTTTATTTCCCCAAAAAACCAAAGCTCAGGGAGCTAAAAAAACCAAACCAAAACAAACAAACAAACAAAAAAAACACCAAGAGAGTTGTAAAGGCCCCTGACAACTGAAGTATCTCCTTTCCCTCCAAAGCAGGCCTCTCTAGTCAGCTGGATTTGGGGAGGGGTGAGGAACATTAATTCTCTAAGTCACTGTCAGAATGAGGGGCGCCTGGGTGGCTTAGTCGGTTAAGCGTCCGACTTTCACTTAGGTCATGATCTCGCGGTTGGTGGGTTCGAGCCCCGCGTCAGGCTCTGTGCTGACTGCCAGCTCAGAGCCTGGAGTCTATTTCAGAGTCTGTATATCCCTCTCTCACTGACCCTCCCCTGCTCACGCTGTCTCTCTCTCTCCTAGAAATAAAAAAAATTTAAAAAAAATAAAAAGAATGAAAATAAGCCACTCTCAAGACTTCTGTCTCTCAGAAATTAGAATGATGGTTTCCAGGGCCAGAGGAAGGAAGAAAAGGGCAGTAGGGAGTTATTGGTTATTGAGCACAGGGAATAAGTGGTTTGGGGAGATGAAAAAAGTTCTAGAGGTAGATGGTGGGGACGGTTGCATAACAATGTAAGTGTACTTAATGCCAATGAACTGTATACTTAAAAATGGTAATAGCAAATTTTATGTTATATACATTTTACCATAATACAATTTTTTTTTTTTGTTCTCTAAGACAGGCAACTTGCTGGGAACTTGAAACTCAGTGCTTCGTTTCTCATAAGAACATAAGGGCTCTCCAATATCCCAAAGGCCCCTGGCCCACCTCACCTGTAAGCGGCAATCTCAATATCCAGAGCCATCTTGACATTGAGCAGGTCCTGGTACTCTCGGAGCTGGGCTGCCATCTCCCACTTGGTGTTCCTCAGCTCGGTGTCCAGCTGCTGGATGGCTTCCTGGGGAGAAGAGGTCACACACAAATGTCATGTACCAGCCAGTGCCTGGCCTTCAGCACCAGAGAGGCTGGGGCAGACTGTGCAAACCCAAAGCGGTTCAGTCTAGCCATGCTCACTGGGGCCATGCTGTCAAAGCTGTGTCAGCCTCATTCATGGACATGGAAACCAGCTGGAGAAAAAAATCCTGCTGAGTATGTATACAGTCTCAACCTGGGGAGTGGTCTGGAATGAAACACACCAGGGATGATGGGTGACGTTCTACAGATCTCTTAAGCTTAGAAAATGCTCAGCAGGAACACAGCCTTGTCTGCTTTGGCTCCCAATGCTCCCTAGTGCCTGCCAGATAGCAAGGGCTGAGGCAGCACCCACGGCTGATGACTGAAGCAACACACAGAAGCACATTAAATACCAGTGGAAACTTCTTCCCTGTCCCCAGACTCACTGAGCCACTGCTTAAAGTGAAACATTATGGTTGATTTTTATTGCCTCCTTTCTGCTTTTTCCATTTTCTAATTTATCCACAATCACCACATATTACTTGCATAATAAAGTTTTTTTTTTTTTTCCAGGTGTCTTTAATGCAAGGAATCTGCCAAGGCTTTCCCAGGCCTTCCGTCACTCTCAGACACTGGTTATTGTTTACCAAATGCCCACTGTGACTAAGACCTTGCTGAACAGGCTCACACGTATCTCATGAAAAGTTTGCCCATCTCTTTAACCTTCACTTTGCTCTGCAAAGCGGGCATTTTTTTTTTTTCATTGCATTGAAGGAATTCAGATTCAGAAAGGCAGATAACTTTCCTGGGGCCACTCAGCTAGAAAGACATACTGGTACCCCTTGTATGTCTGACTGACTCCAAGGCCCATGGTCTTCACCACCAAAACCCCGCTGAGAGAGGGGTGACTTGTCCAGGATAACCCAACCAGGTAAGGTAGTCTGGCTCTCTGCCCATCCCTGCCCACCTGGTAGGATGCGATGTCAGCCTGATGACGGTCCTCCAGCTCAGTGCGTTGCCTCTCTAGTGAGTCCTTGGTACCTTTGAGTGCCTCCAGCTCTGTGGTCCTGGCCTGTAGCTGGCGCCGATACTCAGTTATCTCCTCCTGTGCTGAGCGCATGGCATCTGTGTTCACCTTGGCTGCCTCTGATAGTCGGTCCAGCCTCACTGGGGGAGAAGGGGACAGGGCACAGAGTTAGACACACCTGGATTTGGATGCTACTGCCCAGACCCAAAAGGTGACACACATGGGTTGAGGACCTACTGAGTGCCTGGTGCCATCTTGGATTCTTAATCCACCCTATCCTTTGTGACAGGCAAATTACTACTATCTGAGGTCACCTAGCTAGTAAGCAGTAGAGCTGGGATTCAAATCTAGTATCTACGGGCACCTTCATGGCTCAGTCAGTTAAGTGTCTGACTTGGGCTCAGGTCACGATCTCACAGTCTGTGGGTTCAAGCCCCATGTCGGGCTCTGTGCTGACACCTCAGAGCCTGGAGTCTGCTTCACATTCTGTGTCTCCCTCTCTCTCTCTCTCTACCCCTCCCCCACTTGCTCTCTGTCTGTCTCTCAAAATAAAGACATAAAAAATTAAAACAAAACAAAAACTCTAGTGTCTAACTGGTTCCAAAGATTAGACTGTCTCTCCCAATTCAGGATCTGAAAACCTACAGGGCAGGAGAAGAAGCCCCCATTTCTGGTCCTAATACCCAGTTCAGCTTCCCAGCAAGGAATGGCAGTGCTAGTGTTCAGATGTGAAACTTGCCATCCAGGGCTTCACTCGAAGCATGTGGCTGAACAAATTAATAAGCCTGTGTGACCTTTGGAGGTATGAAGGTGCTATGAGCCACTGTGTGCCATAGCCCCTTCCTTGCAGGTTTTGGCTCTGTAGAACCCAAGGTCACTGCAGAGCCTGGGGCATTCTCTAGCACAGGAGTCCCTGTGCCAATGACAGCCACGCCCTGGCCCTCATGAACAATGGGCTGCAGGTTCCCAGAAGATCTCCCAGGATCAGTGGGGGTCTGGAGACTAATGTACATCTCCTGAAAGTGAATACCCTGAATCCCAAAATAGTAACACCCAGGGCCTGAGTCGGGAGGGTGGGGTGGGGAGAAGTCCTGGGATGGGTGGGCCAGAAGTCCTGGGATGGTTTGTCTATGTGAAGGGCAAAGCCCAAGAGAGCAGAGAGGTTTGCTCTGGGAGGAGTCTTGCTGCAGAGAAGGGGGGAGGGGAAGGTTCTGCCACTGCAAAGGAAAGGAAAAGTAATGGGAAAAACTATGCATCTAAGTCCCAGCTTTCCTGGCTTTCCCTGCTAGTGCTGGCAAAGACTTAGAAACCATCAAGGTGGGTGAGCATTCTTACCCATTGTGGATCACAGACCAGTTTGAAAATTACTGGAGCCTATGCACCCTCTCCCAAGAAAAATGCGCAAGTTGTACATAGAGTTTCAGGAGGGATCATGTAGATCCCCTGAGTAAGAGGCTCAACTCGTCAACCACCTCCCCTTTTAACCCCCGAAGAAATGAAAACCAGAGAAGGCAAGTGTTGGTCAAGGTCATCCTGCAGGTGCTGGGCACCGCTTCAGAGCTGCTGCAGCTGCAATTTAGCTGACTCAGAGCAGTATGGAGTTGGGAGGAGGGGGCGGACTTAAGAGGCTCCCAGCTTCTCAAGGGGAGAAAGGACATTAAAGAGCCACCTCAGCCTCACACACCCATTGGTTGAAGTGATGATCCCTCAGTGGGGAGGAGCCTGATAGGAGAATGGGGTCCCCTGCAGAGTACAGGCAAGGGGGATGGGCAGTGTTGGGTAGGGAAGGCATGTTACTTTGAAGGGCAAAGAGTCCCCTGTGCCTGGGACTAGAAGCTGGCACCGCTTTGGAACTGTGTTAGGAACCTGGTGGAAAGGGGCCTCAGAGTGGGTTTATCCAATCTTGGCGGGGGGTGGGGGTGGGGGGGTGGGGAACAGAGGGGACCCAGAGTTGCAGGATAGCTATAAGGCTCCTGGAGGACGCCAGCCAAAGGAGAACCAGAGCTGTAGGGAAGGGAAGGGAAGGGGGTTATCTCCAGAGACCCAGAGTGAAACTATCATTTAACTAAGGGGAATGCACTTTGCAGAGGGAAGCGGAGTAGCACACCCTCCAGCCCAGCCACCTTCACAGACTCCACCCTGCCAGACCAACAGGGGGCGCCCCCTCCCCCACACCACTGAGCGCCTACGAACCTCGGAACCACTCCTCCGACTGGAGCGTGCTCTGCACCGCGTGGCCTTCGAGTTGCGCGCGGATTTCGCGCAGCGCCGACGTCACGTCGCACTTAAGGGCGTCGCGCGCCTCGGCCTGCGCCTGCGCCTGCGCGGCGCCGCAGCCCTGGATCTGGCCGAGCAGCTCGCCCACCTCCTCCTGGTGGTGACGCCGCAGGTAGCCGCACTCTTCCTGCAGTGCTAGCGCCTTTTTCTGCAGCTCGACGCGTGCCGCCTCAGCCTCCTGCGCAAAGCGCGCGAGTGCGCGCGCTGCCGCCTCAGCCTCCTCCCGCTGCCGGGCCTCGTCGTCTAGGCGCTGGCGCACGTGCGCGATGTCTTCCAGCAGGTGCTCCTGCTCCAGGCGCAGCTGGCCGCGCGCCGCTCCCAGGCGCAGCACGGCGCCGCGCATCTCGCGCACCTCTCGCTCGTACAGCTCGCCCATAGCGGCGCGGCCCGCCTGCTGCTGCCGCAGCGCCGCCGCCTCGCCCTCCAGGCTGCGGTTGTGTGCTTCGAGCTGCCGCACCTTGTCGATGTAGCCTGCGAAGCGGTCGTTGAGAGCCTGCAACTGTTCCTTCTCGCTGCGGGCCGCCGCCGCTGCCACCACGCAGCCCTCCGGTCCGTTGCTCAACGTGTCTAGCGAGTCGGTGCTCGAGGTGGCTCCTGCACCGCGGAAGCGGCCCGGCGAAGCGGATACAGAGCTCACGGATGTCCGCGCCCAGGAATGGAAGCCGCTGGATGAGCCGGCAGCAGAGCGCGCTCCGCCCTTGCGGGCCAGCGGGTAGTGCAGGCTGCCGCCTCCATGTAGCGGCGAGAACGGGGCGCCCAGCAGCGCGTCCGCGCCGCTGAAGCTCATCATGGCCGGAGCAGGTGCGGCCGCCGGTTGAGGGGGAAGCCCGAGGCCGAGACGGGGCGGGCGGCACTGCGGCAGCGCTGGGATGCCGGCCTTTTTATAGCAGCCCGGTCGGGTCCAGCCCCTAGGCAGTTGGGGGGGGGGCGGAGGAGGAGGGCCCCGCCCTCTCTGCCTCCTCCCCCGCGGCCCGGGTCGAGCAGCTCCGCCGCAGTGAGAGGGGCGGGGCAGGGGGACACTGGATTGGGGGGAATCAACGCGGCGTCAGAGGACCACCCTGAGGTCGAGTTACGGGGTAGAGGACTCCTGAAGTGGGATGGCAGGGACCCCTGAGTGAGAGTCGGAAGACCCTGCTACTGTGTTCGGAAACGCCCGAAATGGGGGGAGGACAAGGAGTCCTGGTGGGAATAGGAGCAGGGCGCCTTTGGGAGGGAGCGATGGATGACTATGTAGTCAGTAGGATGAGGGGACCCCTGAATGAGAGGGGGGCGCAACATTTTCCTGAAAGTTAGGGAGGACCTTAAGATAGAGGGTGTAGTGTGTGTGGAACCCGCCCGGAATAAGGGAGGGAGCGAAAGAATCCTAAATGGACTCATGGTGGATGCTACAGAAGGTAGAGATAAAAGACTCCTGAAGGAGGTACACTTTTTCCCTAATGGCTTGGGACCCACCGGGAGAGGCCTCAAGAAATTGTAGCCGGCTGCGGAATAGGGGAGGGGGACTTGGAGTTGACAAGGGCGGCAAGGCTACCCTGAATTGAGGGTATGGGAAACATTTCAGAAGATGGAGAAAGGGGAGCGCAGATGGGAGACACAGTGGTTTCCACAGTATAGGAGGAGGTAGACTCTGCAGCTGGCCCCAGCAAGGGGGACCCTCAGTGAAAGAAGCAGAGGATCCCGTGAATAGGCACAAGGAACACTGGCTGTGTGAGAGTTGGAGGGTCTGCACACTGAGGTCAGCTCCACAGTGTGCTGGCTAAATGACCTTGGACAAGTTGTGTCCCCCACTCCTGATTTTCGCATCTGTACCAAGAGGGGGCCCTGCCCTGGGACAGGCTGCACCTAGAACCCCCCCATCTTCTGCTTTGGGGGGTGTTTCTGGCCGCACTGTGGAGGGGGACCCATATACTGCCCCTGGATGTGGCAGCTGCTTTCCCACAACTAACTAGGAAGTCCCTCTTCCCTCCTCATTTCCTCCACTTTGACTTGTCATCTCTCCCCCAACCCCCACAACAGAGGAGAGGGTGCTGTGGTAGACATCCCTTTTCGCCCCCAGGAAAGTGGTGGAATGTTTTCAGGGTACTAAAATCCCTTACTCCCATAATCCCTTACCCCTTATAATCCCTCATAATGGGGGGTCAGATAGAAAAGAGGTCCCTGGAATTTAGGGTGCCCTGCAGCTGCTGGTGTTATACGACTTTTTCTTGGGCTTTCATTCTCATGTGAAATTCTTTGGGAGTGGGAGGAGGCTGCGTCTGTCGCTTCAGCACCAAGGACAGGGTCTGTTCTTTCTGGAGAGAAAAGGGTTAATTTCTGCCTTTTTCTTGGAGAGAGGGGGAGGGAGGTATGGTATATGTTATGCAGAGGAAAAGTGAGGAGGGGGCAGTGAATGATCTAGCAGGGTCACTCTGGGTGGGGGCCAGGGACACAGCCGCTTGACTTTCTGCTAGGGGATCCAGTCCCATGTTTTCTATGATGCTCTCCCACTTACACACCTGGGCTGTCCCACTCCTCCTTTGGTAGCTGAAAGGACCCCCCACAGTTTTTTTGGGGGGGAGAGAGCTTTAGGACTCTCCTCCCAGATTTGAGCGTCCCTGAGGCAGTTATCTCAACCCCCACTGCACTTCCACTTTACACTGGTTTTCCTTTGGTGGGATGCCCAGCATGGAGACAGACAGATCCCCAGAGAAAAGACCTCTGCCAGTTTGTTTTTCCTTGCCTTCTGCCTCATTCCCACTGGTTCTAAGCAGACCCTTAGAGATGAAGAAGTGATGGTGCTGTCCCTTTAACCATGTTTTACTGGAAGGAGAGTGCGCTGGGGAGGAGCAAAGAGGGGGAAGGGAGTTTCTAGTTTCGAATGGAGAAGCAGAACATGATGAAGCATTTTCCCTCCATTTAAAGATCCAGTCATGAGCCTGTTTGCAGGGGGCAGAGGGCCTGGTTTGCAGTCGGTGCTGGGAGGATGGAGGTGAGTGTCTGGTCTGAGGCTTCTGAGAATGGCATTTGGGGGGCTTGAGCAGGGCCTCCATGCTCTCAAGTGGCTCCCCATTTACTTGTCATTCTGCTTGGAATTTTGCCAGAAAATCCTCTTCCTTTGAGTCTTTTCAGTCATCTGCATAATGCAGATACATCCTCTGGGTGTAGGATGTACAGCTGACAGCAAGGGAGAGTGGTGAGAGGAGCTGGGTAAAAGAGGGGAGAGGTCCAAGATGGATTCTGTCAAGGTCAGAGGGGCACAACCATGAGATCACAGCTGCCTATGGATTCCAAGCAAGAAATCCCAAGCATGATTTGTGTGGCCAGAAAAATGACATGAGAGTGGGAGCCTGGAGTTCATTATTCCAAAGGGCCCATCTGACTCACATCTAGGAAGCCATTTCTGGCCTCCTTTGCCTCAGTATTTAGTTAATTATCCCCTCTGAGTCTTTAGTGCTAATCTACCACACTGCACCTAACTACTCTGTGTTGCCATTGGTTGAGTGAATGAATGAATTCCATCAGTTCTGCAGCCAAGCTTGTGGTTTAAAAGGAACTCAAATGGTTGTGTCCTGAGTCCTTGGGTCTCACACCTCTCTCACCTTCCTCCCTCAATTTTTACCATTTGGAATGAGAACAATATAATCATCCATCCATCCATCCATTATATGTTTACTGAGCACCTACTGTGTGATAGGGACACACAAAACACTGAGGTTACAGAATCCCATAAGCCTCTAAAAGTGTCTCCCTGTGACAAGAATCATCAAGTTCTTCCCAAATCCTAGTCCAGCATTTCCTAAGGCACCTTTCTTGATGATAAATGTTCCTCCAAAAAGGAGAAGGAAAGTGGAGTTTCATGACTAAATGAGTTAAATAGGGCTCTTGGAGCCTGGACTTGGCGGCAATGGACAATTAAAATCTCCCAAAGGTAGTTGGAATGTGCTGAGTTGCCCAAACCTGTTTGACCATAGGTCCTTCATGACCCCATGTGTCTCCCATGGTGGCTCACACTGAAGGACCCACTCAGAACACCCCTGTGTTCTCCCTGGGCTGCCATCTGGGCTCCTTTGGATCGTGTCTGTTTTTCTCAGACAAAATCACAAAAAATAAAAGAAGGACATTCGTATAAAAGGACATAATGAAAGATGAAAAATGAATAACAATTTTTTTCAAATAAGCTCTACACCTAACGTGGGGCTTGAACTCACAACCCCTAGATCAAGAGTCACATGCTATTCTGACTGAGCCAGCTATGTGCCCCTGAGAAAACTAAATTTTAAAAGACAATTGCAAAATACAAAATAATTGAATGCATTTTAAATGTGTGTAGATTCATGGCAATACTGCAAATAACTGACTTTATTTTGTGGATTGTACCTAAGCGCTTGTCTCAAAGTCATTTGTTCATAGTATTACACATTTTTTGCTGGCTGATTCATGTTGTTTAGCATCGCATTTTTTCTTTCTTCCTTCATTAAGAGAGATCCATTTCCAAATACTAGGATCCATATTTGTAACTGAGTTTTGTATTGCATTGTGAAAGCCTTCTACTCTGTTGTTTGTTCTTGGCATATTGCCACATGCCCATTGATAGACATTCCAATGTTCTATGGGAAATGTGGGTTCAAAACTCTGGACCACTGTATAAACCATTATAATGGCTCCTGTTTATATTATATACAAATGGGAGCACTGTGTCAATGGATAAATGAAACCAAACTGTCAGCCAGTTGATGAACAACCAACAGACTTTCAAACCAAACTGTCAGATAGTTATTTTTTTTTATCTTTCAAGGAAAAATTGCTTCATGGCCAATTAATTATGTGGTGAAAATGCTTGTAGCAAAGATGCTTGGAGGCAAAACTATCTAGAACCCCTGTGGACCGCAAGATTAGTGCTCTTCAGGAACAGGGCTGCAGTGTGAAAGATGAAGCAGTGCAGTTCTCCGTGAACATCAACCAAACATTGCTGTCACTCACTTCATTCATTCAGTATCTATGGGATTAGACCCTGTGTTGAGCACTGGAGACTAAAGAATGAGACCTCAGTGAGGGGGAGTCCTCCAGCCCCCATACCATGTATGTATCAAAGAGAACTCAGCCGCCACTTTTGCCTTGGTACCTCCTCAAACCTTGTTCACTAGGCAAGGATTGTTGTTGCTATTTTATAGATGAGTAAAGTGAGGAAGCCAATTGCCTGATTTGACCCACTGAGAAAGCAGAAATGAGCCCAGTGTCTCAAATCCCGGTCTAAACTGGTGCTGGACACACTGGGTGGAAACTCACTTCTCTGGCACAGTAGGGGCCCAGATGTCCTGAGGGTGAAAAATCAGAAGTACCCAGAGAGGGGACAGGACAGGGTTGGTATCTGGCCTTTGATGGGTCATCCAACTGAAAGTCCTTGTGACCTGTGACCCAATGCCAGCATATCCTTTATGTAAGGGCTCACTCCCAACCTTGGCATTCTGCACCACTGTGTCACCTCTCTGGAGAGTAGGATGTGACTACTGTTTAGGGGTGCATTTGCTGAACTCTTCATTCTCTTCCTGTTTTATTTTTCTCCATAAAATGTGACCTTTTCTCACATTAAATGTTGTATGAAAATTGTAACTGATTTAGCACTTTGTTAAAAGTGAAATGACAAGTCACATAGAATGTTGTGTGTGTGTGTGGGGGGTATTGGCATGGGATGTAAAATCCAGCACCAGCTATTACTTAATTAGGGTTGGGTTTTGTTAAATGGCCCTTGTTTGAAAACAATTTATAATACTAAAACTTTCCCCCCCAAAAAGTGATATAACACGGATTGTT